CCCTCCATTTGATCAGTTTTCCCAGACTCTCTTGCACAATTATTCTCCAATTAATAACGAGCTGCCAGTTGAATTTATTAAACATTGAAAGGCTTAGCATGAAACGAGAATTGAAAGTCACCAGATTTATAATTTGCAAGATTTCCAACTCGTGGAACGCTTCGTTCGAACGCTGACAAAATAAAATTCACTGTGACTTGTGAAGTATTGATTTAATCGTGCAAGGGGTCCTGTGATCATTTGTATCCTGGTTATGCTGCTGCGAAAATCAAAGAGAAAACCAGCCTTTGTTTCGTCGTGTATGTACCGTTTGTACCTTTGTGAATTTTTCCTGTAAATATTAGTATAATAGTTTCGTTTATTCACACGCCGTGTATTCTGTACGTATGGTCGTTAGCTTCACCTTTTCTTCTCTCCGTCTTCGTTGTTCATTTTTCTTTCTTTTCGTCTTTCACTCTGCTCTCTCGTCCGTTTCCCTTTCTCGCTCGTCGAACACGGAGAAAATTGAAAATATCGACGCGAAGTCGGTGATCTTTGCATTTCGCTGATCCGCAGAGTTTTCCCCGTAAAATCGCTGAGCACGGAAATTGGCCATTTCCTCGGGAACGTTATTCTTCCTTGACGCGATAGATCTTCGAGTTTCGTCAAATCTTTTCGAAAACTTTCATCCCTCGCCCTCTTTTTCTTCGATCGAGCGTGTACAATGTGGAAAATGAAAGATCTCGAACACGAACCAGATCGAACCGAGTGATTTCTCTTTCTTTTTTTTCCCCCTCCAACGTTTAATAGAACGTAGACGTAGCGCGTCGCGTACGCGCACATTCGTATTTTCTACAAGCGTGCCGCGATATCGTGTGTAGAAATTCTTTCAATTTTTCAATTAACCACCACGGAAGTTCGGTCAACTTTTCGTCGCGGAGCTAACATTACTCTAGCACCAACTTTTCGTCTTGTGTAACGTTTCAACACTCCCCGCAAAATTTCCATTAAATTTCGCGGAGGAGCTATAAATTTATACACTTACCAATTATACACACATGTATATATATATATATTGTATATATATACATATATATTATATATATATACATATATATATATAGATATAAAAATTAATTATAACATAAATTACAAAATATATACATACTACTACCATTATAGTAGTACGTATATACATGCATACTCACGGGTAAATACGTATGTATGATTTACTTACATACACGAAATATTTTAAGTGACCATATAGAAATTTCATACATTGCTAATAAAAATGTTTAAGATATCTAATAAAGTTATATTGTATATTCAGTAACACGTGTACTGTTTGTCCGATACATAAAATGCCTGTTAATTTCCTTTTTATGTTGCGTTGTTTCGTTATTATGTATACGTGTAGAATATTATATGTAGCTATCCTAAATCCTCTGTTTTATATGGCGAAACGCCTCCATGTGCTTATCTTGTAACGTCCAATACGATACTTTTTACGCTTTACCGAGTATTTACTTATTCTGGTTTTATGTTGACCATCCTGAAATAAAAGTCAAGAATCAAAAACGATTTTTTAGAATTTATTTTCTCGAAGATCTGGAAGCTCGAATGTAAAAGGACATTGAGTTGCACTCTGTTGGATAAATAAGGGTAGTGGCAAGGTTTTTATACGCGGTACAAATAAATTTACTTTAGGGATAAAATCCCATTTAAAAATATCCACGTCGCGTGGACCATAAATTCTACCACCTTCATCTTTCTATTGGATATTTATTCACAGGAAGCTTCTAAAGTGTAAGTCTTTTTTTCTGGATTTAAAAAGCATGCCAGATGGTCTTTAGTCGAGCAGCAATAAAAACATCTAAAATACATCCATAGAGGTAAATATCTTTAAGATTTAAAAGCAGAAGATAACAGATACATCTCCTGAATAGTTTTATTCGTGCGATATGTATCAAGAATGGACAATTAGTATTTTATACAATTTAGTTATACGGAACGAATTACTAATCGATAGTATTACTGACAATACTCTTTTCTTTTTTCTTAAATACAGAGAAACACAGTTTTTGGATTCAATACTTGTTATATTATAGTTTCAAAATATCAGAGTAGTATATGTTCGTTAAAGTCTGTAATGATACTGTACATATTGACATGTAATTAGCCTTTGTTACATTAAATATTGTTTCCCATTGCCTCAAAATCAAACTATTAATGTCGCAATTTATCATCAAAGAATTACAGATGTTAATTCTTTTATGAAATTAAATGTGAGAATGAAACATCACAGGTAAAGTTCAAAATCCACTCTTGCAGCATTATAAAACTGATTATTCTGTCCCGTTCTCCGCACCCAAGCCCCACTTTTAAAGTATCCTTCCTTCGCCCATATGTGCATTTGTTCGCTTGTATGTGGACCATAAACTTCCGCATTTTCGTCCTGCGACCACTTCAATTCCCACGTTACTTCTTCTTCTTTGTTTTCGTCTTTTTCACAACTATCAGTTTCTTTAATATTACCTAAAAATAAAGTAAGCATAATGTAGTACAAAGATTAGGAGCAATGTATAATTTCTCTGAAAATATAATTACTTTCATTCCCATCCAGTTTTGCTTTTTCTTTTACATCGAAATCGTCAGCGTACATATCCAACTCTGCTTCTTGTTTCGAAGGATGAGCATGTTTTTCTCCTAGTTGAATCTATGAAAATCACATCATAGATAACTTGTTAGAAATTTTTAATATCATTCATTGTTCGCTTTTCGTTTAATACTATTGTAATTACCTTCGTTTTAATTTGCTCGTAACTTTCTTGATATATATCCATATTTCCAGTACGAGTTAGCAATTCATTTGCTAATTCTGTTAATTTTGTTATATTAATGGAATTTTGATCATCTTCCACCGGTTTCTTTTCCTGTTTTCTTTTCCATCTTTCCGCGGTAGTTAATTTTTTTTTTCCTTTTCCTGCGAATAATCGTAATATCAAACACGTTCCTCCAAATAAAACTAAATCGGTAAAGAATAACTACCAAGCCTGCATAAAGCCTTAGAAACAGTTTCCCCAGGTTGTAAGTACTCCAGCATCTGTTTATAAACCTGAATCGGATTGAACATAATATCCGCATCTTCATCTTCGCTATCGCTATCTGCCAGCCCGTGTGTCTCACTCCTTTCATTATCCTTCTTTACACTTGTCGCAGAACTCGGTTTGATCTATCAAGATTATGCCTTAGTAATGGTTTGCATTACTGAGTAAACAAGGCAGGTTTACAGATAATTCTACATCTGCTGTATGAAAACATATTCTGATATTTCAATATGCAAAGATCCAGAACAAGAAAAGAAATTAGAAACATTTAAGCAAATTTGTATTTGACTTTAAATTAATAAGGCCTCAATTCTCAATATATAATTACATAAATTCAATACATCAATTTTCTCGTATATTGCAAGATTTAAATCATTCGAATAACTGATTCTACAAACCTGCATCCAATCAATGTTGTCTAACCAATTATCTCTAATTTCTTTTTCTTTGTTCCACAAATAATGGCCTTGTTTATCAAAATGTCCTTCCTCTAATTCTTCTTTCATGTTAAACGCAGTGAACCCCACATTTGTTTCTGGAGCACTTGGTCCATCTTCGGCGCCTAACAATTAAATATGTATACTTAACGTGACGTTAAACATACTTTATACTTTTACGTACCTTCAATTTCATCGTCACTCATGATATTATAATTATCCTCATTAGCATCATCTTCTTCATCCGAGTCTAACGAGTTTTTCACTGGTACTTTCCTAACGCTGTTATCTTCTAATTCGTCGAATTTACGTTTATACATTGTTGTATACCGCGAATAACAAATCGGCGATAGAAGATAGCTAACTTTTTCACTTCTTACACCAGAACAATAAAATATAATCTTTTATTGGACGATACTTTTTTCAAGACAAATGTTGTATTCTGATTTATATGGTAAAAGCACTGCGTTCTTTAGAACGCGCAACAGGCAAATTTTCAGAAAAGTATATTTAAGAACATGCAATTATTTATAAAACAATTAACTAACAATTAAGTTCAACTTAGGTTAGGTTTCGGTTAGAGTAGCAACTGACACTTACTCGCAAGTCACAAGCGCCTCCTGGTAGAGCCAAACAGAGTTACAATGTTAGACTTAATAATTTAAATGTATTCATATTATAATGTAATTTATGTGTTAAGTGCATTTCATTTCCGATCAATGATATAGTCGACTTAATTTCATAAACAAAAGCTACAATATATGATCTAATGTAAATATAAGTTTTAAAAATTATCCCTTGTGAAATGTTGAAAATATATTAACATTTACTAATAAATGACTTTATTAATAAATGCATAAATTTCATAGTATCGGTTCCTTTCAATAACGAGACATGGTCAATAACTAATACTGATTAAATAAAGATTCTTATCAAAAACTGTTCTGTACGTTTTTAACTATGTAACTTAAGGAACAATTCTAATTCAGATATCGAAATGTCCTTCGCGCGAATTTTTGATCTGGTGAACAAAATTTCCAAATCTTTATTCGGATGGAATATAAATGGAAAAATCTACAAATTTCCAAATCTTTAGTCAAATAGAACATAGAGATGGAAAGCTAAGGGTTTACAAACGAAGATACAATTACAAAAATTCATAAATTAAACCTGTTAATTAGTTTTCCTGTAAATGAAAATTTGCACAATTCATGGCCTAAATTTTAGATATTTTAGGCTCTAAAATATTAGCACTATGTAACAGTGAAACGACAGGATTATGACTTATTGTCCTTTTTACACATTATTGCGTTTTTTATCTACGAACAGATACTGCCATTTATTACTGTTTCCAATCAAAATTCACAAGTGCTCAGATGGCAGCATCATCTGGAGACAAAGAGCGCACACAGCAATATATTTTAGTTGCACCATTTTATCGCTACGCGACGCTAGTGTTTAATTGATGAAATTTTTATTCATAGAGAGGACTAATTAAGAAGATTAATTTATGCACTTTTACAATTATAAGTATATCAGATCTTAAGCTTTCTTCTTATGCTCCGTTTGATCTACAAAATTCATGAATAAAGATTTACAGATTCCACTCAATAGATCGAAGCACTTGTTCAAAAATATTGCTCTTCGAATTATATTTTTAAAAAAATATTGCTCTTCGTTTAAATTTCAAATAAATAATGAACTTTTATTTTTCAGTGACTAAATTGAAGAATCTGAAAAAATACCTATTTCATTGGATTTCTGTAAATTGTAATGAATTTATGACAAATTTTAGAAAAAAATTAGAAAAATCGTATAATTATACGATGGGTTAGATATGTATTTAGAAATTTTATAAGATTAATTGGTATATAAATATATATCGAATTTATTCTCGAATTAACTTCCAAGTAAATTAATTTTGCATGAAGAAAGTTATTCATTTACATATACACTCTATGAAGTGTCAAAAAACTATATAGACAAAACGTTTTCAGTATACTCGTACGTATTATGGCTAAATCAGCTGATTTAACGAACACAGTACATACAGCGATGACAGATAATGCTCGTCATGTATTGATTACTGCGGAGTGCAATTTATCGGTAAGATTCATAATTAACAATAAATAAACGTAAATGCTTTCACATACAAGATAATTATGAAAAGATGTTTTACATTTAGTATCTGTCTTCAACATGATTATGTGTGTTATTTGTAAAATTTTATACGATATATTGAGAATAAATTTGTTAGCAACGTATATCGTAAAATATAATTACGTGGAATGTGTAATATAAAGACATATAATGTTACTTATCTATTTTCTTTCATCATTGTTAGAAGAACAGTAAGTACAAACATGTAGCGAAAAGCAAAATTTTATTAATGTATACGTAAATAAATTAAATTTAATGAAATGAACGATGTATTTCAGTTTAAAATATTTTTAATAGATTGTATATTAATTTTTGTTTATTAAAAAAAAATTGTGCGTAGTAAATATATGTGGTTGTAAATTCAAGCCAATTATAAAATATAGTATAAAATAATGTTCCTATGTAATGGGTTATTAATATAAATCTTTCAAGCAGGCCAAAGTTATTTTGAGCATACCTTGAAGGTTGGTTGCCAACCTCAAAATTCAGAATCTACTTCAATTTTATATATGAAACATCAAATCTTGATTAAATTTATTTAAAAATGGACTCAGATTCTACAGAAATGGTGAAAGAGATCAAAAACAAAGTAATATTACATTGGAATTGTCGAGGTCTTATGGAATTTCCTGAAGCGATAAGGATTTATGGGGGCCATATTCAAGAAATATATTTGAAATGGAATAAACTCACTACCTTACCTCCGTGGATTATAGAACTCTTTAATGTCACTAATTTATATATCTATGGGAACTTAATTAAAGAAGTACCTCTAGAACTTTGTCAAATGAATCAACTGACAGTTCTTGATTTGAGTGCTAACAAGTTAGAGCAAATACCTCCTTACATAGGGAACTTAATTAGTCTAAAATCCTTGTTATTAAATGATAATTCTGTAAGCAAGTTACCATTTGGTAAGTTCCTAGATACTACAAGTAATTTCAAATTTATAACTTTATCTAACTTGAATGTGTATATAATTTTTATAGAAATGAATAAAATGCATAATTTAGAAATTTTATCTATTTCTGGAAATAAATTTGTTGCACTACCAGAATGGATTGGTTCCTTGCCTAAATTGAAAGAACTAACTGCTGATAATAATTGTTTAAAAGAATTACCAAAT